TACACTACTACTTTGAATATATGGAGTACATTCTAAATTTTCTATTTTATTATTCAATTTACTATACATAGCGAATATGCACGAAGTAAATAAGTGTCTGATGTGGCTAGTTTAACATGACCAGTCTATAAAAAATTGATGCTTTACTCATATCCATAAATTCAAGCGACCACGTCTCCATTTTCTTCTTCTTTCACTGGATACTTATTCATGAGAAAGGTATAACCGGATAAAATATAAACTAAATGTATTATTTAATAACGTAAAAATCAACATTATTTTCTTAATTATTAATGAGAATTTGGTTACTGAGCAAATTCTCCCATTTTTTATTTGAGCGGTCGTACATCATGAGTGAATTTTGCAATAAACCTAAATGTATTTTTTTTTGGTTTAACAACAAAACCTAAACGTTATTGAGTCATTGACAGAATGCTATGGCACAGTGCCCGCGACGTCTAGCTGCATAAAATAAATGCATGCCTGTTACTTTATCTTCTTTTTTTTTGCTAAAAAAGAACAAAAGTAACCATAAGTTAATATGACAGGAGACAAGTATGTATATTCTCTTTCAATAAACAACAATATACAGAAGCTGAAATTCGACCGATGGAATCTCACGAGTTGCGAGGACGAACAAAAGGTTTGGGGAGGAAAAACAAGCGCATGTGGAGTATTGTGGCTGAATAATTAGTTTACCTTCATGTATATATTAGAATTTAGTTATGAGGAACTCATCATTAAAGTGGACATAGTTGTTTCAAATTTCGTACTTCATGTGTTATCTATTAACAAGTACACAATATTCCATTAATATTAATATTATCAAATGAATATTTATGAAAAAGTCATACCAGTTATATTTTACGTACATCAATAAGACAATAATCGATTCCCATATAGTCAACTAAGTGCCTGATTATATGCGTTGCGGTTTAGCTCATTTTGTATCACAACTTGTCATATAAAAAAATAATCTCTACAACTTTATCCAGCTATCTAATATCGAGATAATTTAAATATTATTGATACATCTGAAATTTTCATAACCATAATAGTTTGTAATATACATTAAGATACAACTTAGGCACAAAGTGATAGTCAATTCACCTTCGTCCTTCGAGCTGCATCTTTCTTCGCAAAAGGTATCTCCTGTTATACTTCAATTTCTTGATACCCACTGGAATTTACTGCCTAATCCAATAAAGCTCCCCGAAATTCAGAGAATGACATTCATTAGGTTCCTTGCTCTTGGAATCACCTTCAAATACCACTATTAACATTTTTTTTTTTTTGTGTGTTACTAGCTAGTAGTTTAACGTATAAAGTAATAATAACATACAATTTCAATTCAAAATATAAAACAACTACTTTTTATAGATTAAAGTATGTAGGTACTAATGATAGTGTATTTTAGTACTTTATCTTATCTTAAAAGTAGATTATTTTGTTACTTTCATAGTCTGCAAGATAACTTTGATGGCCCCTATGTTAATTTAATTTTGTTGATTTGCCAATTTTCTTCAATAAAAAGAAGTTAATTAGATTCTTGGACCGAAGCAATTTTATAACCTCTTAAGCAACAACTTTTTCGAGGACCATGTACAAATTTTCTATTAAGAATTTTCCTTCAAACTAGGCTTAGACTGTGATAGATTTTCTTCACACACACAAGAGCGTATCACGTGGTTGAGAGCCTTCTATTTGTTTTACTAGGTTAATAGTTCATAGCCCCCATGCAAACCCGGAGTCGTAGACAAGTGATGATATATTGTGATGTTTTATGGATGGGATTTTGTCGTTTGTTTTATGATATTTTTTTGTTCGGAGTTTAACCGAAAACCCGATTAAATTGAATTGATATACGAATGAGTGAGAATTCATATGCTTTGAAATAGTCATATAATATTTTAGTAATAATTTTTTCGAGTATTTGTGTTATTAGTGCTTTCATATCCAGGATAGGTGATTTATTGGGTTGTTATTGTCCAGGATAAGAGTGTTTAACGAATTCATACGTGTGTATACATTTTTTGTATGATTTAATCGGATCTTAATGTTATTAGAGATTTCATGACTATATGTAGCTAAACATATGTATTTGTTAATACACAACTTTAATATGGGAACAAAGAAAAAATAATTTTGTTATTTGAAAAGAAATATAGTTTGTTTTTTAAATGTGCCATGACATTTTTTTGAAAATATATAATTGTAATTTAATAAATTTAAACTTTCGTATAATTAATTACATGTATGACTAATATAGTTTTTTTTTTGTATTTGTTAAAAATATTTTTGTAGTAGTTGGGTTTTAAAATGATTGGACTTGCAATTTGGTGGACTTTTAGTCTCAATTTAGATCTGAAATTAAAATATCCGTTTACTCCCCCTTTTTGTTTCTCCTCATCGTCTTCAGCAGTGTGACAACCTCTTGCGATTCTTGGCCTCATTACATTAGTGTGTCAGTTTTTGAAATTATAGTTGTTCTATAGTGGCATGGAAGCAAGATTTGCTCACCTCAGCTAAGGTTGTCTTCGCCGCATTCCTTATTCGGTAAACCTCTGTTAATTCAGAATTCTTGGAATCTGCAATAAGAAGGTTAGAATTTGTTCTATGAGTTTGTTTTTATTGCTATTAGTTTCATTTACTAAAACCCAATGATTTGAAGTTCTATATGTTAATTTGGTTGGTATGGCTTGTGCTTATCTTAACATGGTAGAGAGACTCGAAGGTTGCATGATGGACACCAGTGACACTGGAAAAGTAGAAGAGACATTTTCTAGAAAATGGTTAAAGTTAAGAGGAATCGATGAGTTTGGTGGAGATGCAGATTGGGTTCATCAAAGATGACAATCATATATATAGGGTTTACAGAGGGATTACAAATTAGGAACATTTATATTCAAGCATTGTAAGATGAGGAGATAAAAAGTTCACTAGTGAAAAAAATAGATTACGAACAAACACATGGTCCACCTCTGTAATTCAGACCTTTTTGAGACGATGATGAAATGTATCTTAACTCATGTTAAACGACGATGGTTTACAATACGGAAAAACTATAAATGTTGTAAACTTAAAGATTTTCTTCATATATAACTTGATGAAGTCCAATAAAAATGAGACTTATAATACATTGCAGGCCCAACCCTCAAATAAAGCCAAAGAAGCAAGGACTTCTGGCTTTCATAAATATATATATTAGTTTCGAGTATCAATGCACAAATTATCCTTTAGTTTAGTGGTATAACTGTTAGTGTTTTTATCTGAAGGGGGTTATTGAGAGATAAATTCTCACCCAACTTTAAAAAATTTGAAAGTCCTTTATTATTGGTTCATGGATTTAAAACTCTTAGTAAATCCACTATCATTGGTTTAAGAATTTTCAAAATCTATTCAAATACCTTGTTATTCAAAAAGTGTAGTCATTATTGATTCTCTAATTCTAACTAAATCTAGTGTTATTGGAAGATGAATTTCTACCTTTTAACACATAAGATACAACTTTCAAAATATCATATGTATCCATTGAGATTTTCAGAATCCATGCGACTAAAACATCTAGAAAACAATATAATTCTTCTTACCAAATATATATTTCACCTTTAATCAAAATTATATGTCTTAAATTATAATTCATTACATTTTTATTTACTTACCTTTTGAATGTATAATTATACTTTTATTTTATTTAAAAAATAAAAATAAAATAATATATAAAAGTGGCCAAAAGAGTTTTCATTAAAGACCAAAAGATTTTGCTCTTTTTTGCTTTATAAATATAATAATAAATATATAATTATAATAATAAAAATAAAAAAAATAAATCTTTCTATGTTCTTATATGTTTTCAGATTCAAATTTTTATAATTTTCTTTCGAATTTTTTTTTTCAATTGTTTTTTTAATTTTATTTTTGAAATTTGAAAATTCTTCTTGAAACTATTTTTATAATTTTTAATATTAATTTCTATTTTTATTAATTTTAAACTTCACCTCTAAAGCCCTACCCTTAACTTTAAAACAAAAGAGTTTATGATTAGTTAATTCTAAGGGTATAAGTTTTTTTTATCTTTCTAAAAAATTTCTTTTGGTCATTTTCTATTTTGAATTTTTTTTTGTGATAAAAATTTAAAAATGGCTATACTAGAGAATTTCTCAAATATAAATCATATGTTTATTTTACGAAAGTAAAGATAGAAAAAGGAAATACAAGTTCATGAAAATCTGTTGCAATCTAGAAATGTATGATCAAATTTTACTAGTTAACATATATATATTTTCATAATCAACATAACTTTATAAATCTATCAATTTTTAAAATTCACAAACTATATAAAAATTCATCTCCTAATAAACCCCCGTTAATAACTCCGGTTCAAATAATAGATTTGAGACTTTTTCACATTTTTTTTAAAAGTGGGACTCACCAGATGTTGAGGTGGCGTGCTGAAGAATCTTGAAACTTAACCACTATAATAATACTTTATCAATTTACTTGTCGTTTTGAGCTTTTGTACACACATTAATAAAAAAATTAATTTTGCATATTTTTTAGAAAAAATATAATTGTTTATACACCTAATCACATTTCAACTAATAGAAAAATATAATAGTAGATAAAGTCAACAAATTTTGTATTGAAATTAGAAAACGACACTTGTTTTAAAACGAAAAATTTAGTCTACAACGATAACTAAATTGAAACGGAGAGAGTATAGATTATTAGTTGAAACGAATAAGATATTAAGTGTTTTTAGTTAGATGCTAGATTTCCATTTGCCCAAAAGAAAGTCTTTTTATTTGCTTTGTTTTTCTTTTGGCTTTTGAGTGTATTTTCTTCCTCAACTGTGTATATTTTAGTTTGTACTCACATACGCGTGTTTAAATTATATATATATATATATATATATATATATATATATATATATATATATATATATGACAACCTCCACCTGCATTTGCTCCCTAAATTCCTCATATTTTGTTTATTTTCTCTCTTGGTGTCAGTAATGGGGAGAGAGACGATGGTGTGCAAGTCATGGAACGAAATTAAGAAACATCTAAATGATACCGTTTCAAATAGCATAATCGGTCGTTACTTCAAGTTAGAATCAAGAAAAACAAATTTCACAACCGAACTACGAGCAGCAACAGCCACATTCCTCACCATGGTTTACATCATTACCGTAAACGCCACCATCCTAGCCGACTCTGGTGCCACTTGCTCCTTCCATGACTGCTCCACGGTCTCCGGTTCTTCATCGCCTAAACCAAACTGCGTCCTTGGCTCTAATCAAGGCTACGAAGAATGTCTTACGAGGGTCAAAAAGGACCTCGTCGTAGCCACTTCTTTGTCAGCCATCGTGGGCTCATTAGCTATGGGGTTGTTGGCTAATCTCCCATTCGGACTTGCTCCTGGTATGGGTGCCAACGCTTACATCGCATACGACGTAGTTGGTTTTCGCGGTTCCGGTTCAATCTCTTACCATACCGCTATGGCCATTGTGCTACTCGAGGGATGCGCGTTTCTTGCAGTGTCTGCTTTAGGACTCCGCGGGAGACTGGCCCGTCTAATCCCTCAAACGGTGAGACTAGCATGCGCTGTTGGTATCGGAATGTTCATTGCCTTTGTTGGTTTGCAGATGAACCAAGGTGTTGGTCTTGTTGGACCCGATAAGTCAACTTTAGTAACGTTGACCGCATGCTCAGAGACAGATCCCGTCACCGGAGCTTGTCTGGGAGGGAAAATGGAGAGTCCTACGTTTTGGTTAGCAGTCGTCGGGTTTCTCATAACGAGCTACGGTCTCATGAAGAACGTCAAGGGGAGTATGATATATGGAATCGTTTTCGTTACGGTTGTTTCTTGGTTTAGAAACACCCAAGTCACAACCTTTCCTCACACTCCTCTCGGGGATTCAAACTATAACTACTTCACCAAAGTTATTGACTTTCACAAGATCCAATCTACGTTAGGAGCTATAAGCTTCATGGAGTTTACAAAGAGCGAGGTTTGGGTCGCCTTCGCTACTCTATTTTACGTCGATCTCCTTGGCACGACCGGAGTACTCTACACTATGGCTGAGATCGGAGGCTTCGTGGAGGAGGACGGAAAGTTCGAAGGAGAATACACTGCCTACTTAGTGGACGCAGGCTCCTCCGTTGTGGGGTCAGCGTTAGGCGTTACAACGACAGCGACTTTTGTGGAATCTTCGGCGGGTTTGAAAGAAGGAGGGAAAACGGGGTTAACGGCCGTAATCATCGGTATGTACTTCTTGGTGTCCATATTCTTGACGCCCTTAGTGACTAACGTGCCTAGGTGGGCCGTGGGACCCTCGCTAGTGATGGTTGGTGTGATGATGATGGGAGTTGTGAAAGATATTAGATGGGGAGAGACTAAAGAAGCCGTGACGGCGTTTATAACGATCTTGCTTATGCCGTTGACTTATTCCATTGCTAATGGGATTATTGCTGGTATTGGTATATATCTTGCTCTAAGCATGTACGATATCGTTTCGGGACTCGTCGCCTGGCTTACCGGAGTTAGTAAGCGGGTCATGAGAGAGCATAATCAAGTTTTCTCTGACGCGACCGTCGAGATCGTATGATTTTTTTTTACGGTGATTGATGTCTCTAAACCGGTTTACTGGTCTGAGTGTACCGGAAGTGGTGGACGTTTCACATTGTTGGTCGTCGGATGACTCTGGAAAGACCCGTAATGAATGCTCAGTGGGTTTTATTTTTATTTTCCTTTGCTTTTTGTTGCTGTTGTTATTTTGGTTTAGTTTGCGTAGTAGTGCCTAGTGAACTAGCAATGGATGCATTAGCTGCCATGAAGTGTTGTTAAAATTCACGGCTGCTTGTGCATGCATTTTTTTTATGTTTCAACCAAACGCTTTTATTTAGTTTGAATATAGCAAATACATCAATCAGAAACGTTTGTGTAACAACCCGATCCCCCGATCGACCGGGGTTAGCGAAAGGGAGTTATGGACACATGTCTACTCAATTAAACAATCATGCATGTCCCGTTACTAATCCCAAGAGTCAGCGGACGCAATCTTTCAATAAAATCCGATCCATTTATATCCACATATATCTACTTACAGTCCTGCGCATAAGGAAAATGAAAATAGAGAGATAAACAATTGGGATTACTCAGTGAAGTGATCCTAGACCAACTTGTCCTCATGGCACTCTACAGTACTTCATGCGAGAACCATGACTGACTAGCCACTGCAATCAATAAGCAACATACAAGCAATAACAACAACATTTACACAGATTATTCTAGCACCCTAACGTTCATACACCGCAAGGACTCAGCCGTTGCTTCACATAGATTCATTCACGTAATCAACCTATTAGCTAGACTCACCAATAAACCTAGACTTAAGGATCTAGGGCCGTTTACAGATGTCCCTACATGTTCCGATCTAACTAGAAAGAGCGTTCCTTACTTGGAATCCCGTCCCCCTCCAGCTTCCTAAATGACTACCCGAGTCGCAGCCCGTTGGCCCCTACCGGCTCTGTCTGCCCCCTCGTCCACATAGTTATAATTAGACTCAGCATTGACTCGATCTTAAGGCGCCTGCACATTTTCTATCTTGCATCTCGCGGTAGGCACATCTCATCACTTCTTGTTGGTACCTGGTGTTAGGCTACTGCCCCACGGGTCACGTCACCCGCTAGACTCATGCCCACCCGCTTTCGGTGGTCCAAACAAGACTTCAAACAAGTTCATTGACACGGTCACATTCTCGTTCTCATTCACGTTTTCATTCTCATTCCATTCTGATTCTTATTCTCATTCTTATTCTCATTCTCATTCTCATTCCATTCTGATTCTTATTCTCATTCTTATTATCATTCTCATTCTCATTCTCATTCTCATTCTCATTCTCATTCTCATTCTCATTCTCATTCTCATTCTCGTTCTCATTCTCATTTTCATTCTCATTCTCATTCTCATTCTCATTCTCATTCTCATTCATCCACACTTAACTTCATACTCAACTCTAGACACCACTCTTTATCGGTGTCTCATACATCACACATCATATCCTCATTCATAACCACTGAAGCCAAATGACATCTCATTTACATACATCTAACAATCACATATCACTTGTAACTCTATAAACTTAGATACCAATAGTGCAATACTTTACATTCATCTCACATTCAAGCCTTTACTTCTCTCTAGCAACCTAGTTTTCATTCACAGATATCAGATGGGACACAAACCAATCACACAATCATTCATCATCAATCATCAACCATATCAACACAGGGCAGTCCATCAAGTCCCATTTAAACATTATGAAGGTTCTTATGCATCACGATTCATTCATCAATCTAGCATCCATTATGATCTAACAACCTAACTCTCAAAGAGGGTCTAACCAAACCCCAATTCCAACATGAAAGAGTATAGAGTACATGAAAGATGGGTTCAAATCACCACACCTTGAGATCTGGATCTGGAAGACGAGATCTGGATGTGGATCAAGAGTAAGAAGAGGACGAGATCCGGACACCACCAGCACACGGCTACGACCACCACCACCACTCAGACGAACACCACGACCACACCCTAGTGGCTTGGCTTGCTCTCATGGCGATTCACGGAAAGGAGAGAGAAGAGATGCGCTGATAAAGAGGAAAGAGAGAGAGAGAGAGGCGCACGAGAGAGGGAAATAAAAGAAAGGCGGCTAGGGTTTTTTGTCTCCAGGGATTTCTCTGCAGAGCTTTGCTTTCCATTTTGTGAATGAGGAAAAAGAGAAGGAGGTAACCTTTTGTTATAGGAAAATGAGGGAACCCTAGGGTTCTAACCCTAACGGGTTGTAAAAATGCCCATTAGTCTCTCCAAAATATTTGGCCCGAAATTGGGTTGTTACAGTTTGGATCTTAATTAACTAAAATTTATGGTTGTTGTGAATTTGGTGTGATGATCGTGGGAGAATAATAATGTAAGAAAAAAATTTAGACTTAGATAAATTGATAGATATTATAAAGAATATTACCACCAAAGACAAAAATTCAAAAGCTTTATAAGTGGAAGGAGTTAGCATGTTAGACTGATATTTATTACAAACTTTCATCTTTGTAGATTGTTCTCAACAAAGCTCTGGAGTCATCGTTCGCAACCTTGAGGTACAGATTGGAGAAACCCTAATTCCTACAGACTTCCATATCCTCTCCAACAAGCTAAACTTCAAGACTTCTCTACTACTTGGCAGAGCCTTCTTAGCCACAGTTGGAGCTGTTTGTGACCTCCAAACAAACAAGCTCTGCCTAACCCTAATCAACCCTTCCATTCACTACGATCCTATTCCAGTAATCAAGTTCCCAAGGCCAGCCAGCTCAACACTCGTAGCCACATGTTTCTGTGCCCACGAATTTGATTCTATGGAAGAGTATGAAACCGAAGAAGCAGTATCGACCGATGACACCACTTCCCCATCGATCGATATCCTTGCAGCACCATCGACCGACAGTTCTACCCGGTCATCGCTCGATGGAGTCTTCCGACGGACCGAAGCCGAGTTCCCAGAAGCCGATTTCAATGTAGAAGATTGGGAAAATGATCACTACTTGCCCGAGCTTGCTAGTATCAATACTCAGGAGGAGTATAATGAAGATTACGAGGAGGAACGAGCTATAGAGTACCGATTTCTTTGCGAAGATGAAGAACAACCTCCATTCCCGACCTTCATCCGACGAGCCTCGACCGATATGACACCTGGTCCATCGATCGATATGCCCCACCACAGATCGCGCAAACGATGGTTCGAATCAACAAGCGACGAACCCTACTGCAGACCAGTCTATGTCCCACACGAACCACGAGATGGCGATTACTCGATTGGAAGCTGGGCCAGCGGTTATCACGAAAGTTTTGCAGTAGACACAGCACCCCTACAAACCGCGACTCAACCTGCAGATCCTGTATCGCTCGACACGCCCTACAAGCCATCGACCGACGAAGACATTTCTCCATCGATCGATATCAATCACAGACCACCAACCGATCCTGCCACAACACCATCCGAGGTACAACTACCAAAATTTGATTTAAATTCACTAATTCCGGATGAGTTTGGTATTTTCAGGGATTCAGATGGTCATGCACGTGCCATAGATGGGAGAATCATTCCTATCTCCACAGAAGATGTTGCAGACATACTCCAGATGGCCAATGGACCTATCATCGAAAACAACCCGAACCAGACAAAGCGCCCATCGACCGATGCATGGAGACTAGCATCGATCGATACACACCGAAAGTATGGGACGAGAGCTTTCCAAAACGGAGAACGTCGTTTCTTTTGGGAAAAGAAAGATGAATATGGAGTCTACAGAGATGAATCTGGCCATGCAAGAGCAGTAAACGGAGACATCATCCTTGTCACCAAAGAAGATATGGAAAACTTGCTGAAGAGAGCCTCACTATTTGGTCGCTCTTGTTTCTGTCTACCACGATATGCTGATCAGTTTGCTAAAGGTGTTCCAGATGGCAAGCTCTACACACAGAAAGAAGTCACCTACATGCTAGATGGCCTCACCAGCGATCACAACTGGAAGATAGCAGGCGCGAAACTTGACGTTGAGGAAAAACTATCAAGACTTCGAGGTGAAATGCTATGGCAGACCAGCCACGATGACTCAGTACGAAAGAAACGAGATGCCCTACAAGAAGAAGTCAACACTTTGCGCGCACAACTGAAGTCTCAGCCACAGCCATCGACCGATACAAATCCTCCTGCATCGATCGATACACCCGTACTTAACCCGATCGAGCACCACTTACAAAAGCTATCGATCGATGACAAACCCAGTCCATCGATCGACAACCGTGCTCAAGAATTCTGTACCAAGGAAGAATTTGAAGAAACCACAGCCGAGCTCTACAAATCCATTGAGGCTTGTGAAAACGAAGATTACTATCTACTGGACAAGTATTGGCTCCCAGTGCAGAATGATGTTAAAAGTTTGGAACTGAGAACGGAAGATATTCAGAAGGAGGTAGAAGATATCCAAAAACAGCTCGCCAGCCGACCTGACCCATCCCCATCGATCGATGAAGCACAACACGCATCGATCGATATGCAACCTCCATCCTCCACCGACGATCCAACACACCACGACACCATGCAGCGCACAACAGAACACATCTACAGCATGATTGGCAACCATCAGTACAGCCTTGCCAACTTAGAGGGGTGGTTAGAAAGGATCCAAGCAGAAGTTTATGGTTTGAAGACTAGCATGACAAGAAGTGAGAAGGCCACAAGAAGCTTTCTAACCTCTTGGTTTGATGACACACAAGAAAAGGAGGACACTTGTTTACCAACAAGTACCTACAACTCACCTCACTAGCCACCATACTTCCATAGTCAAGCTAAACTGACTTTAAACAAGCGCTGAGTGGGAGGCAACCCACTGTTAGGTATTTTACTTACTTATTTTATTTTATTTTTACTTACTAGCTTCGTTTTTATTTGTTTTTAGGAAGATAGACACACGATCCATACCTATCGACCGATACGAACCAGTCGATATCGCTCGACACAGACCAACACGCATCGATCGACGATGGCGACTCACCATCGATCGATACCCATATCGGTCAGGTATATCGTTTCCAATTTTCGATATCAGTTACACATATTTAATTTTTCTTATGCTCTAACTCCGACTAATTATACACTGAGGACAGTGTATGATTTAAGTCTGGGGGGAGNACCAACACGCATCGATCGACGATGGCGACTCACCATCGATCGATACCCATATCGGTCAGGTATATCGTTTCCAATTTTCGATATCAGTTACACATATTTAATTTTTCTTATGCTCTAACTCCGACTAATTATACACTGAGGACAGTGTAT